ATAGCAAGATAACAAGACCGCTTGGGCCACTAATGTGGGTACCCCTATTAGTGTCATCTCTAGGCTATTCCTTGCGACAAGCACATCTATGCAAAACCATTTTGTTCTAAGGTGCATGCGTTTAGCCTCTTCGATGTATGTGCGCCACTCCTCGAGAGTTGTGCTTTCTTGGGGGCAGCATTCACTAATGCTCATTGTTAACCGGTTGTCGTCAAGACAAGGAACAAGTGCATCGGACTTTACTTTCTCGCATGGTCGCAATGCTGTGCATCATTACAAAATTATTTATTATCTACTCTAATCATACAATCCGCAAAACAAATTGAACTGCATCAACCTAGATAAATGAACAAGAAAAACCAACAGTGGCTGCTTCTGGAATGCTCAGAACGATTTTCTAGCCAGCAAAGCGACCGATAAAGAAAATATCTTTCCCATCTTTGGCAATTACAAACAGAAATGGGTGATCGGCGATGAATTTCGAATTGCGTACCTCATCCACTGCTGCTGCTGCTGCTACTACTGCTTCTTCCCCCTCTTCATTCACCTGAAATGTTATACCGAGTTAAAATGTACATACGTGAATAAAGGTGGATCAAGAGAGCTGACAAAATTGTTCAAATTTTTGATCCAAAGCCGAAAGCCAAAGCATAGAAACGCCTAATGGACGGTTTTTTGCTTGTGATTGTGAATCTGCCAAATCTGTAACTCACACTCTTATTAAATTTAGTTGTCCGGATAAAGTACACACATATAAATTGGCACTCACGTGTCCACAGGCTCTGGTTCATAAGGACCACAAATACTATGCAAAACATTGAAGTTCGAAGGTATTTGCAAAAATTTACAACCTCAATAACGGCCTTGTGCTTCGCTTGCTTGATGAAGAGTGGCCAGTAAAATGCCATGCCGGTAAAATCAGCTATTCCGGCGAATGCCTTTATAATTCCCATACTTTCAAGTACATCGACCAGATCCAGTTCGCTTTCTAATGCGAACTTAGGCATTCGCACCTTAAAATTGTTCGAAATGAAGGTTGGTAAATGTGATGCACTTCTTTTTACAGAAAGTTGGCGCTGAAAACAGCGTGCTGGGCGGTAAGGGAAATAAGCCACCTTCTCCTCCTCCTCCTCGCTTTTCATGAGAATTGGAGGCCTGGGAAGGAGTTCGAATGGGCAGCAAGAGCCAACAGAAACAGCTTTTTGGTAAGGCAGTCTAACAAGCTTTTCTACCAAATGTTGCTCATAACAGTGAGAAAAGAGAACAAAATCATCGCGTTTCCTAATGCACAATATTTCGCATTTGTATGAAAACCAGGCCTTATTGAACTGGCTTTCCTCATCAACCAGGCCTCGTCAACGTCATTGCAGCGGCTTCTGAAGGTTGCTTAGGATCATTGCCTTTCCACTTCATTTCATGCTTTTTTTTTAATCAACGCTGCATCGCCAGGCAGCCTACCTTTTGACTGTCTTTACGTTCCATTTTTCTCCTGAAGGGATTTTCCGCTCAGTGGCTCGCCTAAAAGAACGTTTTTTCAAAGCTTTAGTCGCCGCAGATTCAACGGGGCATGTTGTGTAACACCGTCTCGTTCCCCAGCGTTTTAACTCCCAGATTATGTTAAAGGTGCCAAACCGCTTGGAAGATGGTTTCCTGGATCCAAACAGCATGGCATGCAGAGAGGGAATTTTAGAACTATTGCCTAGTATTTATGGGTGCTACCGGCGATAATTGTTTTTGAACATAATGCCTAGTATTTATGGGTGCTACCGGCGATAATTGTTTTTCAAGCCATCTGGGTTAACGATGGAGAATCGCCAATATTACTAACTGGGGAAAGGTAAACACTTAATGATATCAGATCGGGAGCTACTGTACATTTCTCACCTAATCAGCTAGCAATCAAAGGTAGCACCAGCTTTATGCATATTTTGAAGAATTCATATGGGCCGGCTTCCAGTTCCGATGAATTTGCAACTACATTTAGACATTTTTCGTTTACAACAGCCCAAGCATTTCTTGAATATCACGTGCAAAAAATTTTGCTTAACAGTTATTTTTCGAAATTAATGGCTTACATAAAATTCCTTTGACGCTTTGCAATTTTGAAAGTAGTGCATCATCTTTGAACCGTTAAGACTGCGTTCAACATCCTCTAGACCGGAGTGTTTTCGCGGTAAAATGATGTACATACTCATATTTTCATCGCCTTCATATGGCATCGCCAGCACTTGCACCTCATCATCCTCGAAAATCGGAAAATATCCAAGCGTTGCCATCATTGGTATCTGGAATTTTGCACTATATTCTTGCACTATATTTTTCACTACATTCTTTTTCACTATATTCATGCAATTTTCCACTATATTCTTTTTCACTAAAAGCAGCCAGTTCCTCGGCTTATTGAGGCCAGGCAGGATGTTGTTCCAGCATTGCAAGAAAGTAAAATCCGATGAGCAGACCTGTTGCTTGCCCTGCTAGCCAACCGGTAGGCGCAACACATCGTTGAGCGTGCTTTCCGAGTCAATAATCGACCTTGGATGGTCTTTGGAGAGTACCACGCGTACCTGAGGCAGGTAACAAGTGCTACTCATTATACTCTTAGGTGTGTGTTACCTCTATCCGTTGTTGCAAGTCAATGTAGAACTGATTGGACTCAGTCCATTTTTCATCGAATTTTTCTTTCCATGCACCTTTGAAATAAACTGCATTGAGCAACATCAGGTGTGATTCCGTTGAAATTTCGCTCGCTTGAATAACTGAAGTGATCATTTCATGCGTCATATTGCTCACCCACTCATTTGCTTCCTGAAACAATGCTACAGCTTAATTTGCAACAAATTGCATGAAAAGCCATAGTGACAGATTATCAGTCTGTGGTGTTTTTAAAGCCGAGCTTTAGTTTCTTCTGGGAAACAGAAAATTTATTGGTGTGGAGGTGTGAAATCAACAGCACGACTCAGGATGAGCATATTTTGCTATTCGAAATGCTACCAATTTGAAATGCTATCAAAATAAAAAGCATCAGCATTATTGGTACCTTTAAAAAGTTTTGTAAAAAAACCAAAAGTTCGTCTAGTGAAAA